CAGCTAAACAGTCATTCCACTCTTCATTCCCACACACACACACACACACACACACCGACACCCATACCAACACCCACACTCATACAAACACACACACACCCACACCAAGACCGATAGATAGAGAGAAAGAGTAAAAGTTGAAGACTCGGCATCCGCGGTTGTTGCATTTGATGTAGATAGATCTCTTGCTAAATGAGTGGTCGCCGAGAGAGTTATCACAGAAGCATTCTTTTTAGGTACTGACGTGTCTACTGCACTTGGCTGTCCACTGGCTGTCTCCGATGATTTTTTCTTTACTCCTGTTGTCGTAGATTCGTTTGATTTCGATGTAGGTTTTGTAGGCGTTGGGGCTAAAGATGTAGATCTTGCAGATTTACGGGCTTCTCGTGTGGCTGTACTTGATCTTGTTTCACTTGATTCCCGTTTCTTGCTAGACATAAGAGAAGAATTTGAATAGGCAGAAGAAATACCGCTGACAGAAAGAAAACTATACGTTTGAATGTAATAGTCGTATGCTTTTTCTGTTCTTTTTATATTTACTGTCACAACTTGAGCTTAAAAGGATTCTTTGTTTTCAGTGATTCATTTGTGATGCAGGCAAATATATGTTGGAAAAAGCCGGAAAAAAATTCTTAGGTGCTTGATTTCTTTCCTTCAAGGTGATTTCAGCATGTAAGGGTATGGGTGTGGTGTGGATATGAGTATGAGTGTGAGTGTGGATGCTTGTGGCAACCATCTAAGGGAATCCAACGAGTTAAGGAAAAATATGGACGCCAGTATAGAGGCACAAGGAATCCATTAATGCGAAAATAGAATTGGTTGTGCCTATGACAAATTGAACCTGTTTATATCAGTGATGACTCACTTAGCAACTGCCAAGATACCATCGTTTGACAAAGCTTGATAGAAGTTGCATCTTTGATACAGATTGAGAACAAAGCATCGTACTACATTTTTATACTCGATCAAACCAATTTTCTTGATAATTTTTTACCAGGTGTTAACATCGACACTAGAAATTATTAGTATCAAATCGAAGAAACAGACTAGTATTGAACTTGTAGCATTGAAATTCAACAAAGAAGCAGAATATTCCTTATCTGAAGAAATTAAAAAGAAAATTTTTATGCAATATTTATATTTCTTTAATATGAATGACATAAAGGTTGAAATATTTATCGAATATAATAGAAATCTTTGATATATTTATTTTTATAATAATTTATGTAAGCTATCACAAATCTGCTCAAAGTTTCTCTAATCATTGGGCTTTTTAATCTAATCTAAGAGTGTAATATAATTGTATTTTTATTTCAATTCTTCAGATTTTCATATTATTAATTCATCGAAATTATGTCAGCTTTTGACGAGTCCTCAATAGGTTTGTGAATGATAAATATGATTAAATTCTATACAAATATACATGCTGATGTTCTCTAGACACAAAGACCAAACGGTATCATCATTTACCTGAAAAGGTATTGACATTGGTATATACGTGTATTAAGGAAAATTCTTCGTTTCATGTCGAAGCCAAAATGATGAATGACGACGCCTATCGAGCATATGAATATTTACGTAAGAATCGCAAACTTTTGAGTATAAAAGCTCATACAGACCATCCAATATTCGTGAAAGAAGAACGATTACATCTCAATGGATTAGTAATATTAGCTGAAGAAGAAGTAGACAAGGTAATATTGGCTCATTATGGAGCCAAATTTGGTTGTGGTACCCGAGCTCTTCATTATCATTTGAGTATGAACAATTCATTGTGCAATAACTTATGCCTCATAATAATATTTGTGATTTAGATCAGATATACAACAAAATATCAGAATCTCGAATAGCGAAAGTGGTTAAAGCCAGTAATTCATGTGGTCGAATGCATCCAACATTTTCGAATAAAGGTCCAAAAAGAATTATACAAGCTAAACAAGTGTTTGAGCGTCTGCAGATTGATCTTGTTGATCTTTCTCGTCGCACTGCGTTGCACAATGGTATAGAATTTCGATACGTACTCGTTATAGTTGATGTCTTCTCGAGATATATGTTCTTACGACCGTTAACCAAAAAAAGATCAGGTATGAGTAAATTTTGTTTAATTTATCTATAAAAACATTGTATAGGAAGATTTTTAAAACAAATATTTCTATTCATATATAGCGATTTCAATTACCTTTTGATAAGACCATAATAGAAGAAAAGAATATATATATATAATATATATATAAACATGCTATGATGAACATCTTCTCGAACATATTAAGAAAATAGTTGATTTGTTTTTTATTTACTAGCGGAGGTTTGTGATCATTTGGAGCTTATTTTTTGTGAACATGGAACACCAACCATTATCCAAACTGATCAAGGTACTGAGTTTCAAGGTTTATTCGATGAACTGTGTCTTAAAAGAAACATTAAACATATTCGATCTCGTGCTTATCATCCTGAATCTCAGGGAAAAGTTAGTTAGACAGCATACATGCTACTTTATATTTAAGTATTTTCTAAAATTAATTTAGGTAGAAAGATTAAATCGATCTTGGAAAAATAAAATGTTTTATGATGTACTTATCAATGGTAATACCAATTGGGCTGCTAGTCTACCCTCTTATTCTCAAACTTATAATACGTCCAAACATCGTGGTCTCGGTATTCGTTGCGACTTCTTCCTCCAATTTTATTTAATCATGTTTTATTTAATATTTGTAGGAAACCTGACTCCTTTTTTTGTATATTTTGGTCGTGAAGCTGTTATCACAACTAGTTCAAGCATGAATATTGATGAAGAAGAAATCGAACAAGTATGATATAAAAAAATCTACAGCATTTTTCTCTTCTGAAGCACCAGATGCAGTTTTACTGAATATCAGGGAAAAGTTTATTTCATAATTTACTAAACCTTAATAAAGAACCTGATTCTTTCTAACAACCAAGGTTTCATGTATCCGATTGATTTTTTATTGTACCATATAATGTCTTGGTGCATTTACTGAATGTCATACAGTGTCCGATGAAGCGAAAACAGATAGGACTTCCTTGTAATAGTAAAGTATATTAACGTTTATAGTCTGACTGCCTACTAAATATCCATGTGAGACCAACCTACTTAATTTTGCTATAGTCTTATGCTGAATTTGATGATGAAGACTGCTTACCAACGGATGTTTTAACTGCTACAATACAAGATAAAGAAAAGGCTAGACTAACAGCTGATGAAAAAATTAAAAAATATTATGCAAAGCAAAAGCTCATTTATGAAAAAAATGCTTGCGCCGTATCTTACAAGATTGGTGGTATTGTACATGTGATATTGGCTACTTTTTGCATTGATTCTATGATGCTCTGCATGTTTTATAAAAGTAACCGTGTTTTTGCAGACATTTTGTTTTCAACTTTATTAGCTACTTTGGGTACTCATGTACTTCAAGGATATTTGCATGAGAGATGCTACCGTATTATTACAGCCATTAGAACAATGGTTTTATGAATTGTTATGATTTTTAGATCATGTTATGGTAAAATTAAGTGGCAAAAAATTTGACTTGTATAAAAGAAAAAATATCATTTGTCCTGGCATTGTTATGCAAACAAAAGAAGCTGATTTTTTATACTTAGTCCAATATGAATATAGTGATCGTATTCGAGAAGATTGGTTTTTTGTGGATAATATAACTTGTCGAACCGTTCAAGAACAAGAACAACGACTAGAAAGTGCAGCTAAGAGAACAAGAAAAGAAAACTCAATGGTAAAGAATACGGTAAAAAAATTTAAAGCAGGTAAGCATACACCAATTGCATCATATATTAAAAAAGACCATTATTTTTCTAATGAGTAAGAAAATAGAGAAAAACCATTCAAAAATCAAACTTTTTCAAATAAGCTATAATTAAGAAGAATTTCTGTAAAGTTGGTCTATAGATGGAAGCAAAATATACAACAGCATTAGTTATTGTAGAATTAGTCAACAGCACTCATCAGTTCTAAGAATGAAAAGTCTACAGTTTCCTTTGATAATCAAGAAATAAAGGAAAATTCAATCGTTGAAACTTTAGTTTGTATAATTTATTAAACATCAATATGCGTTAAAATAAAAAAAAATGCTAAGACTATTCTCTACTGCAATACTTAATACTATTTATATCTCGATTGAAAATCATTTTTTTCGTTCGATATTTAGATCAAATCAATTCGAAAAATTCTCTAAGTAGCAAAATCTCATCGAAATATGCTGCTACTGATACGTGTTACCAGCTTGATGATACAATAAATCAGCTTGATAACACAATAAATCAGCTCGATAATGTGCTGACTTCTTCTAAGTTGACGATTAATAACTGCTGGAAGCAGCAAAAGAGAATTGAAAACAAAACAATTCCATCTAAGTTGCATTCTTCTAATGGTGAGTATCATGCTATAAAGTTGATTATTAGTTTGTTTTGCATTTTTTTAAATTATGCATATAATTTCATAACCATTTATGCAAAAAATCATTTATCGAAAAATAATCTACATCAGATAAGTGCAAAATTTACCACTATACAGTTTTTTGGGCGCCTAAATAGTATTATTTATTTTTAGAACATCATGAATTCAGTCCAAATGGTTCTAAAAAGGAATTAATGCAAAATGTTCACTGTGATTTAGGTGAACATAGCTTCGAAATTCCTTTTTTCTGTAAGATCATTTTATTTGTGTTTGTACTTTTTTAAACGCTTCTGTTTTTTTTTTGAACAGATCCTGAAACAGTTGATGATTTGAGAGAGCGACAAGAAAAGGAAAAATTAAAAAATTGTATTTTTTGTGTTCCAGCTGTTCCCAATAATGGTGGTTGTGTGGTTCAAGGAAATTTAACCTTAATTTTTGTTGCAACTTGTACTCTAGACTATTTTCTATCATTTATTCGCCTTGCTTTTCTTAAAAATAATCATCTACAAAATTTTCTCAAAGCTTCAACACAAACAAATATTGTAGCTGAAACACTTCTTGAGATGGAGCCTTCATTGCTGGCATTAGATTGGAATATGGCACGCTTTATTTGGGCAAAAATGATCGGTGTTGTTGATCGAGCATTGGATGAGCAGCATCGAAGTGCAGCGGTGTTTAAACAATTAAAGGTATTTCAATAGACATCTGATTTTTTTCTTTTCTCTGAATTATATTGAAACAACACAGATTGAGGGTGTTCGAGAGCAAAGATATCAAATTCTTTTTATTAGTATATTCAAGACTAGTTTATTAAAGATAGTACGACTATTCACCAGCAATCTTGTGTAGCTATTAATGGATATGCCTGCAAAGAATCTTGATTGCACTCGTTAAAATACTTCAATAATTGTATGTTATAATGTTTTAGAATAAGATGGAAAATGATCTTTATGAATGGCAAATGGCTGAAAATCGTTGCATAGAGGAAAAGATGATAGCTGATATTTACGTGAATTGTTTTGGTTCTGAAGATGAGTTTTTTGCAAATCACTTGGCTAATCTCGTACAAAAGTATGAAGTTGAAACAATTTGCAACAGTACTCAATGCGTCATGAAAAGAAAAACACTTCAAAACTCGTATTTATCATTTAAGTAAGTCTTCATTTAATGCTTAAAGTTCAAACATAATCTTCATTTGATAAGCTATAGATTTACTAGACTCTAAAAAGACCATGCTAGAAGGATCAGCTTCAAATCAAATATTGATGATTGAGTTTCATTAATAATGAAAAACATCCACTCAAGCTCAGTTAACATCTTTCTTATAAATTCTCAGATGTTTTGCTTACTATTTATACTTATTGTAGTTAATATATAGTTGAATTATAAATCGAATGAAATTTGCACAATGTAGTCATCAATATGCGATTTCAATTTATGATTGTTTGTGCTTCATATGAATAATGGTTCAATCGATTACGCAGCTTTCAGAATGAAAAACCTAGACTGATGTTCAAAATATTTTGTTCTTCTTTCTAATATTTAGCGTGCTCAATGGTCAACTACAGGATCCAGTTGTTGCTCAATATGATACTCGATATCCAGAAACTTGTGGTGTTGAATTGATGAAGTGGTCAACGAGTACACCAGTCCCGAAACAAGCTGAGCTGAAATACGTGAAAATAATAAAGATCATGGAAGATAATAATAATTCAGATGAATCAGGGTAAGTTTCATTAACTAAATGTTTGTAAAAAATCTCTGATGTTATAGTCTCTATGTCGTCTGTGCTGGTCAACGTTCGTTTGGAACGCCAGCATTTTTATACAGTACATATCCACCGCTCTTAATGATTTCTAATGTCGATCCAGCCATTACAACTTCTAATGTTCCACATCATATTTATGTCAAAGAACAAAAGTAAACATGATTTAAGAGAATTATCAGAAAAAATAGAGATATAATATTTCACTGCACTATTTAGGTATTCATTACTCGGCACCACGAGTCATAAACCTGGTCATTTCATTGGTATGGTGGCATGTACCGATCACAAAGAGGACAATATGATTGACGATCTCTTCAGAAACAACGAAGGCACACACATATTATCAAAAGCATTTTATATTAAATGATGATGAACTATGTGATTTTATATATTCTTTTTTTTGCTCATACTTTTCTTATATCATTTATATAGGTTTCATATATTTTTTCAACCCTTTAATTTGTTTTTTATTTTTTGTAAAATCTTATTTTTTGTTTCTTCTGGACTAGAATAATTCTAATAAAATACTTCTTGCAACACAACTTTAAATTAAATCAAGTTGCTGATTCAAATAACTTGTTCAATGACGAAGAATAATCTAAAGTAAAAACTGTTCAGCAATGCTGTCAAACGATGATATCTTGACAGTTGCTAAGTGAGTCATCACTGATATAAACAGGTTCAATTTGTCATAGGCACAACCAATTCCATTTTCGCATTAATGGATTCCTTGTGCCTCTATACTGGCGTCCATATTTTCCCTTAACTCGTTGGATTCCCTTAAATGGTTACCACAATGTAAACACACGGAATGTATATCTATCTAGCTCCATCTTTCGTTCATTTTTTCCTATTGGTCGAGTGATGCACTCCAATGAATTTTTTTTCATTCTTCTCCATGGATATTTAGATGACGAATGGGGCACAGGGTATGGCGAAAACAGAAAATTTCTTTTTTTTCTTTCTCGTTCTAATACGTTCGTATTCACAATTGAATTCTATCTCTTCCACTACGTTTAAGTACACAAGATAAAAATATTGGAACGTAAATGAAAAGATGTCGCCACTTTTCTTTCTATGCGGACAGTTAATTATCAAAGTTAAGTATGAGACAAGAAAAAAACTGAAATAGGTTTCTGAACAATTAGAGAGGATAAAAAGGGCAGCTTGGCAGTGCGACTGCAGGAATAAGACATTTTTTTGTGTTTTATATTTGTATGCATACTGCAACCTATGATCACCACTTGGATTTGCCCTTTCGAAGGGGTTCAAAGGTGAAATCGTGTCAAAAAGGTGTCCATTCGATAGAGCTCGACGAGTTCTATCTTGGTATACCCTTGATGGATTTTGGTATAACCTGTAGACGAATCCAGGTGCGGTTTACAAAAAATACTTGTTTTTTTCGTGATTTTTCGTTAGTTTTTCGAACTTTTTTCCAAGAAGGGAGGGGACTAGGAGAAAAGTAAATAGTGGAATCGATAGAACTCGTCGAGATCTGTCTTGGTATACCATTGGCAGGTTTTGGTATAACCTACAGACGAATCCAGTTACGGAATACTCGAATCCAGCTCCAAGATATCCTACGTACAGAAATGAATCTTTAGGTGGTAATATTTTGAGTTCATCTATGGTTGATAAGGATCGAAATTCCTAGGCAGTGAAGTCAAAAATCTGTTAACAAAAAGAGTCGCTTATTATGTTTGGAATCTTGCATCGTAGGACAAGGGTCAATTAAAAATGATTATTTTGCATCAAAGTTGTCAGACATTTTGACCTAGATCATGTAAGCAAAGAAGATGATTGTACAAATCTGTGTTTTCTCTTCCATCCCGCAGAACAAGATGATACTAAAATTTTAGTTGTATCCTACTACTAAGCAGAAAAGAACAGAACAAATCTTTTAGTCTTGATTGCTACTTAGGTTTTTACGATTTTTTAATCATTCGTATCATCGTTTATTATACGTAATAATCACTAAGAATAATCGGTGATCCAAAGGATGTGTGGGTGAGATGAGGCAGTTGTAAATGTGCTCTTTTGTTACACCCACACCCAAACCTTTGAAAAATATCTCATTTTGCAGCTCTACTTTCGAGCCATAATAATCAACTAAACCTCGTACAGTGTTTTTCATCTCTACAGATATTGAGAAAACAATGAAGAGAAGTGCATATAAGTGATAAAAGAACTATCTGATTTTTATGCAGACTTCCGACAAGTTTTACTTTATTACTCAGCAACATTTAGGCCATCAGAACTGTAGTTTTTAGCAAATATAGACTTTGAGATTGGCAGCCGTTCGACATAATTTATAGTTCAAAACATCTTATTTGGGAAAAAAGTACATGGGCGATTGCTTTGCGTGTAAATCATTTATTTATAATACAAAATCGAATAATAGTATTTGAGACAAAACTCGGTCGAAACTCTTGAAAAAAAGCTTTATTTTGTCACCAAACGATTCCTCGCAAATTTCCGCTTCTAGTTAACCATCAATCGACTAAATATAACGATGATTCGAAACTAGTTCTTACGCTTTCCCATTCTTTCCTTATGCAAATAGAGTACTTTTTATCTTGAGACAGAATAAAGTGAAACTATGCACAGCAGACAATTTTTCTTCCATCTCAATAGATGATTCATGGCACACAAACAACATGCGTTACAGTTTATTAAAGGAAAAAAAAATCATCGTGTTTATGTAACTCTACCTCACGTTGAAAACATATTAAAACATAGCGATGTGAGTATCGTGAGGAATAGGAAAGGGGAGATAGTATTCGGTATTCGTTTGAGCAACAATCAAGGTTAATTGCTCTGATCTACTTTCAGTGTTTTTTACCGTTTACTTAGCAACTGACTCATTATTTCATAATGATAGAGAATCTTGGGTTTTTTCCCAGTGTTGTTGATATATAAATAGAAGCAAGAAGAAGTTATGGAGAACTGAATCGATAGTAGCTAATGACAACATTTTTGAGTAGATGCTTAATTCGACATATATAAATGAACAACCAAGCAAGAACCATCGATAATATATTTGAAGATAAAAAGAAATGGTTTGTGCTCTACTTAGTTCCAAACCGGGCGTTCAAAATGCACACCTTTACTATTGCTGTAAGAGAAAAACTAGAATTTTTTTTTCTTACTCATTTATCATTGTTCAGTTTTAGTGCACGATTAATGGAATTGATGAAGACTCTTTTGTCAGGTTAAGAGAAAAATACAATATTTCCCTGCATCCGTTTATGATGAACGACAAATTATAAAAGTATGTAATTAAAAAACAAGTAACGGTCATCAACATTGTATATTGATTCACTGGTCTCTAGACTGACAGAATGATGGCACAGATATTATTATATTTTTAATAACAATAAGTTCTGTGCAATTACAAGTTTAGGACAGATTATAATTTTGAAAAATGTTGTATACTATATACTATACGTATATTGAAACAGTTGACATAAAATAGGGAAACATGCTAATATATATGATACAGCATATGCCTTAGTTGATTGTAGCGACTAGCAGTTATCATTTATGCCACAGTGTTGATCAAATCTGATATGGATATCGCTACTTCTCACAGACACTCTCATACCAGCGACAAGAATAGTCAACTGTACCGCAGAAACGGCTGACTGCACCGTGGAAACTGAGTTCAGTCACGAAGATGTTTAATTGTACCAAATGAATAGTTGCTTTTACCACGATTCATCATGCTTTACACTTTAACAATGGTTACTTGGATCATCGCACTCGTCACCAGTGCCCTAAAAATAGTCACTTGTACAAAGACCCATGATGCTTTGTACCATGACAATGGCCATTTTTTGTACCATGACAATGGCCATTTTTTGTACCATGAAAATGGTAATTTTATCCCGACCTTGATATTTTTTGCTATCAAAATGCTTACATGTACCATGAGTCTGGCCCTTTATAGGATGATAACAGGGAGTTCTAACTCGAGTAATGCTTTTTTCTACCTAGACAATGGTCACTTGTACCACGACTATGGCATTTTGTAACATAGAAATGCCATTTGTACCAACAGAAATGGTAATTCTTTGCCATAGAAATGATCTTCTGCACCCCAGCAATGGTCATTTATGCCATAGAAATCATCATTTGTACCACAAAAATAGTCGTTTATGCCATTGGAATGGTTGTTGGTGCCATAAAAATGGTCATTTGTACCGTAGGCATGCCCATTTGTGCCAAGCGCTTGTTATAGACAGACAAACAGACAAACAGACCCAGGTGAATTACGGTTTCTAGACCCTATCCTTTCAGCCTAGGGAATATTTTTTTTTCTCCTAAGCTCTGGAGTACTGCAACTCGGAAGCCGGGTACGCGCAGAGTACAGATTGTAAAAGTAAAGATCTGTGAGGGTATAAACTTAATTTTTAACACTGATATTCATTGAAAAATCTCAAAAAATGTAATTGTGCTGCTGCTGTTTATTAGTGACGCCCTTGAACACATAGTTGCTTGGTTCTCAAAGCAAGAAATATGGAACGGGTCCGGCAGAAAAACATTGAAAATCAAGGAAACTAGGAAACAGCGTTTTGAACTGAAAAGTCATCAATTTTTTTCTATGGCTTCATGCCAATTTTCTGTTGTTTCACAAAGGGAACAGTGATAATTGATCGAAAAAATCCAAAAACTTTTCGGCCGGAATATTGCTTTCGTGTTCCATCGACTCTCGGTGATTTCTGCCGTACACAATGATATTTTCCCATCTTGCCGACCGATTTCGGTAAAAATCAATTGTTTTGATGCCTGGAATCTTCAGAATGTGGGTGTATCTTTATCTTCTTGGTTCACCTGCACTCACATCCACATCCAAAAGTAAGAAGCTAGTGGCACGAACATTTTTCATCGAACTTTTAAATCATTATGGCCTATATGATATCCATACGCTCAACTCAAAAGTGATGTGACGGCTGGGAGTGTTCCCTCGTAAGTATCTTTTATTGTTTTTTTTGGATAAATTGAACAATATTTTTATTGTATTATCTTTCTTGACCGTGAAATATCTTCGAAAATAAAATATCAGGTAATGAACAAATACACAGGAGAGCACTGAATGCTAACATCTTCAAATAATGGTCACTGATTCGCAAAACCTTGTCCTATCTGCTTGGTTTCTGATTTTCAAGTTTTTGATCTAGTAGCCCTGACATAGGAGTACAACATCTTCAGCCTTTTCCCCTAGGTCTGACGTGAGACGAACGCCTTTAAGCTTCTCTCAATGTCATAAACAGTTACTCATGGTTCCAAAAGGTGTTCAAACAGCGAATGTTCTTTGGAGTAGTTCTCTCCCTAGACAAAATTTTCTCCGAATCGAAACTTATTTCGTAAATGAAACGAATTGATCGGGTTTGATGCATATTTCGATTTGAGTTAGATATCTAAAGTGCCGAAAATCTCATTCTCAAATAAATTTCATTTCAGATAAGAAAAGACGTAAATCACTGAAAATGAAAGCTGCTAACATAAGTACAGCTGATAGCGCAACGACGGCACAGGAAAAATCGGAAGTTTCATCTCTCACAGGTAAGTTTTGCTTATCGTTGAATTAGCATTCAAGTATAAAAAGTAAAAACATTTCATAGAAGAAATATCCTGCTCGAGCGATCCGTCAATGTGGTCAACAGTCGACGTAATTGCATGGTTAGAAAAATGCCACTTGGAACAATTTGCCACGGTATTTCAGGGTCAGTTCAGATTTTAAAACAACATTTTTAATTGTGTCTATTCTAATAGAAAACGAAATCGATGGAAGCGTGCTGATGAGTGATGGGTTCGATGATAACATGATCAAAGAACTTATCCCGAATTTCAAAAAAAGGGTATTATTCAATGGGGAGGTAAAGAACTTAAGGTTGGTTCCTTGATATGTTATTCTTCTGTTATAAAAAATCGGATATTTAGAGAAAAAATTCGATCATCAATTGAAAACTCCACCAACAGTTCTGTCATGCTTGAATCTTCAAGAACTCCAACTGAAGTGAGACACATTGTTTGATTACAATTCGAATTAGATGGTCTTTGTAAAATTTCATTTTAGCCGCAGTTGCAAACGATCGATTCGAATTCTGTCCATGTTAATATTCAACGGGATCTACTGCTTTTGCGTAAGCGATTTCTGAAAATTCCAATGTAAAAAGCGTTAATTAACGTCAAATTTAGCTCGAATGGGTTCGAAAGCAACTTGTAAATGGAATGAAACGAAACGACACACAATCGCACTTGACATTGCTCAGTTTATTCAACCATTCAATACAATTCATAACACACTCATCACTTCTCATGTACTCAGTTCAGAAGCATATGATCTTCTTTCAAAATCATTCAGATACATGTGCTCACCACCAGTAGGAAATGAGCAGCTCGACTCCTCTTTTTATACACTTGTAGATGAACCAATCGATGCTTCTATTGTTATTCAGAACGTTCATCAATATCACAGTCTCAAACCTTATATCATCGACAGTCTCAAACGGTTTCACAGTTTATCCGATGTTATGCATGCATTGTCTTTATGTATCGATTTACCAGCAGTAGAAACTGATCCTTTTATCGATATTATTGACCAAATCAGCAAATACATGCTGCTTGTATGCACTATCGAGTCACTCTCGTTCGACAGCCAACGTTTCCTCGGAAATATAATTCGAAAAAATGATTTACCCATTCCTCTAGCTTTTTATACTCCAAATGAATTCAAAATTAACTTCAATACTCTTGCCGAATCGATTTGTTTCACGCATGATCGATTCATGCTTCTATTGGGTAGTTCATCAGCTATAGGTTTGGGTAAAACAAGTCTAATTCCTTATATTTTTCATGACAAACGAAGTGACTCCTTGAATGTTGATAGTAGTAGGGCATTGCGACTAGGCTGCGTCGATACTATATTTGGAACACTGGAAAACAGTTGTTCATACGTAGTGTTTGATGTTCACGGCACGATGAGCACATTAAATGAAGATCTGATAACGGCTATTCAACATTATTGCTCCATACAAATTCTCTGCGTGACCGTGACCGACTTGCATCAAAACGAGTTTCTCACTCTCGTCCTTAATTACTCAGCGGAAACCCGAGCCAAACCAACAATTGTCGTAATTTTCGACCCGAACTATAACAACAAGAATTGTACATCGACAAAAATTATACAGGACTTTCAAATGCAGTTTCAAAGGGACGAGTGGCCAAACTTAGTTTTTATGACAGCGCCGATTCTGAAAACAATATCGACACATTCTTCTTTCAGTGATGCACGACGAGCACAACGATTACGACAATCATTTGCGGAGTGTTTCCATCAACTTCAAGCCACCATTGAAGATCAGTCTCATTGTGAATCAATTTTTACTATTCAAGCTTATTATCTTGCTATCAAATCAGGCACTAATACATGCCCTGCACCATTATGTAATATAACAATTCTTTCGCAACTAAATACTCTCTTTGGTCGTCTCAATGAAAAGACCGAAAACTTGCGTCGCGTCACCCCTATCAGTTATCTTGACGAAGTCATTCTAAAATTTGAAAAGGAGTTGACAGCTCAGTGGAATGAATCCTCGGACGACGTTCAAGCGCAATTGGAACAGTTTCGACAAGAGTATGAAAAAATAGATAAAATTCCCCACTATGCTGATTTTTTTATAACACTGCTCACTAGCCGACCATATGTTGAACTTTTGATTGCAGAAAAATATTTAGAGCAGTGGAGAGTTCAGTTCTCACCGATGCTGCTCGAAAAAATGACATTCGTCAAGAATGTGGCTATGACTCATTTGTCTCGTATTAAAAAACTTGAAGAACAAGCTCAGCATGAAATCGAGCAGAAAAATGAAGCTGAACTGGAGAATGTTCTCAATCAAGTGCAATTAATGAAGAACGAATATAAGAGTTGTCAAAAGCTGATTCATGATATTGAAGATCAACTAGCCAATATTGACTTGACCATCGGATTATTCTGTGATGAAATTCTAGCTGCCTATGACCATTATCCGAATCTATTTCATGCTAACAATTTAGTCGGCCGATTAGCACAGAAATTCTCTGAACTAATGTACAAAGGTTTTTCTTTTCACATTTTACGAGGTCGTCCTCTTCGATGTCACAGCAAATTGGTGCAAGAATCACTCCGTTATGTTCAACAAACAACAACAAAAACACCTCTTGTATTAACTGTGATCGGTGAGCAATCATCGGCTAAATCATCTCTGCTAAACTCAACCTTCGGCTGTAATTTTCGTGTAAGCCCTGGACGGTGCACTATCGGCATGTATTTAAGCATAGTTCGATGGCGAGATAATACCATTGTTATTTTTGATACTGAAGGGTTGTTATCTCTTGAAGAATCAGGCTCGATCTTTGATAATCAAATGGTGTCAATGGCAATGCTCTCGTCGCATCTCGTGCTTATTAATCATAAAGGCGAATTTAGCTCAAACCTTGAACATCTCATTGGCATGAGTTTCTATGCGAAACTTCAAATTCGCTCGCCACTAAGGCCCAAACTGCTTTTCATCCTGCGTGATCAATCAGATATACTTAGTACAGGAGTTTTCTTTCGCCAACTGTCAAAATTCAAGGAAAATTTGTACAACAACAGCAAATTTCTGAAGTCGTCGATTGACGATGAACTGGAAATCAATAACCAAAATGTTGTTCTCCTACCAAATGCATTTTCTATTGATACTAATCCTTCACTGGCCATAGAACAGACATGGCGCAACCGCACATTTCCCATGAAGATACTTGAATTGCGCAAAATGGTCTTCGAAAGTCTGGTTAATGTTAATCTCCAAGTTTATACAGATATTCCCCATTTATATCAGAAGATTGTGTGTAACTGGAATGCCATCGATAAGTTGGGGCCCAATCTTTTAGCATGTAAAACATTGTATGAACTATCAATAATGAATGAACTGCGGGATATTGCCAATGAGATTATTCTTGATTGTGTGAATAAGGTGGCTCAAGAAGGTCGACAACATATCGACCGTGTCCTAGCTTTCATTGCACCAGAAAATGAATCAGATTTTGACGCTACTTACTTCATCGAACAGTTCAACATCGCCTTACAAAGAACTCACGAGAAAATCACTGAAAGTGCCGTCGTCGAATTTCATTCGAAAACAGAACGTACTTGTTTTCCGCTCGAGCTAAAACATAAAGTGGAGAAAATGATCGAACCCCCAATTATTTACACACAAGTGATGTTACGAGATGAGTTTGGTGAGCGCCTTCATAAAGCTCGTCGTGATGCTCGTATTTCTAGCGCTCAACGACGTCTCATAGATGCTGTCCAATCAGAATTCGATCAAAACACGAATCTACCCATCCAAGAATTGAAAATACGTATTGAAACAGCTTATATCACTGAACTTGAAGCATGTAATCGGATAGTACGGCCGGAATATGAGAACCCTCAACAAATTGCTATTAAAATTCTTAAGTTTTATAATACAACTGTAGAAAGCAAAACAGCCAATGTTCGACACGGTAGTATCTATAATTTGCTTCCTTTATTCGAGATACATGAATTTCAAAGGTTGTGCCAACGATTTGACGGTACCTGGGAATGTATGATGAAGCGAGAACCTCAAGAGGCTAATACGAGTAATCCAATTGTTAGAGCTTTCAAAAAGATTTTTCTCGGGAACCCTCCGGATGAATATGCCGAAGAACTATGGCAGCATCTTCACGATAAAGTACGGTGGTGGTTCTATGACCCGTACAACACTTACAAAAACAAAAAACTTCTATCATCCATTTTTATCGAGCTTTTGTCTCAATTACGCATAGATATTAGCAAGTTAATACGCGAACACTTTCATTCGTCGTCTGATGCACGTGTAATCGCTCATATGATTGATTTAATTGAAAATTTACTAAACGCCGACGTCATCAAACGAAACAATCGGCATTTGGCACGATGCAACTTTGTGTCAGATGTATCATTGATTGCACTGAAAATGTTGATTGGCGAAGCAGTCGAAATCGAGGAACAACGCCAAAAGCTTGAATTAGAAAAAGCACAAAATGATTTAGCCAATTGGAAGGAAACTATAAACACGCAAATTCAGTCTATGCAAGATTCGTTTGAACAAGGCAAAAATATGGCTGCTATAGTAGCGGAAGAGATATTTGAAGAAGCTGGTCGACTTTTACTTGGCAAGATTCTTCATGATGTAACAGCTGACATCGTAAAAAGCCAATTCATTAATCATGATGCTATACAACGCCAGGCATATGAAGAAAGCATTGTTCAAGCAATTGGCGAGAAAATCTTGAAATATGTATTAGATATCAACAGATTTTTTCTCGAATTGAGTGTACGCGAAATAAACACATTGCTTGTGACTATCATACACACCCACATGCTGAATGCTGAGCATATGATCCTTAGTTTTATTGCGAAATGCAATGATATTGTTCAGGCAAGTGAAGATGATAATATACGATTGATTGCCGACTCCATCGAACGAAGTGTCCTCGGGATGGCATTATTCGCGGGATCAACTGAAAAAAAATTTGCTTTGAATGCAGTTATGTCTCTGCCGATTCAAAACATCGATAACTTCAGACGCGGTTTCAAAAAAATACTCTTACAAAGTGCTAGTATTCAGGAAAGAGTAGCCATTTTGACCCAAAATGTCAAAAAAGATGCATTGGCCGGATGCAAAATCCGATTATCACGACGCCTAGGATGTCAAAGTTGTTGCCCAGGATGTGGAGCCAAGTGCAGTCGACCTGAACCACATGATGAAGAACTATTTCAGCCATGGCATGAGTGCCACTGTCGACCAAATCGATGCAAGGGCAAGAAACCTGTAAGTGTACGCGTTAGTTCTCATGAAACTACGTATCACTTGGCTCAGGCGTTTCATGGAACACGATTTTATAGAGACAACACACCGGCTTTATCACTGTGTTATCAAGGATGGAAAACATGTTCGATGGTGCTTGCCGATGATGAAGAAGTATTTCCGATTCAAAAGTATTATTGTTTGTACCATTCAGAGTGGTACAATAACTTGAACGTTCAATCACAAGCAGGGACAGTCTGCAATGAAACAACTCCACCTGCCGAACAACGTCGAGCTTGGATGGTGGTTCGTCGTGTTCTGCTTCGTCATTACAAACAATACGGTATGGTTGACAATGACCATTATGACTCAAAGCTGTATCCTGAAGTCAATGCTTTGCCAAGTGCCTATGAACCAAAATGGAATGACACAGAATTAAACTAATTTTATTTTTTTCTCTCTTTAATTATAAACTTGACTGAACTGATTTCTTTTCCTTGATCAATAAATTTGTTTTAAAAGTTTAGACAAGTCAGATTGAGAAGAACGCTAGCTACCACAGAATGCCGTAAGCTCATTGAGGATAAGTGGCATGGAGTAGACTTGCACATTCCTGCACTCGTCCTCTTTACTTCCTAAAAGTCAAATTCTAGGGTGCTCATTCGAACTCTACTCATAAATTAAGCTCGATGCTAAGGGTGACCTTCTGACAAGGGTGTGGGTGTGGGTGTGGGTGTGGGGTGTGGATGTGGGTGTGGGTGTGGGGTGTGGGTGTGGGGTGTGGGTGTGGGTGTGGGTGTTTGGGTGTGCGTGTGGGTGTCGGTGTTTTTATCTTTCTCACA